GGTTTGTTTGAATATTAAAGATGATAGAAGGAGTAACTATTGATATTTTTCGTCACTATAGATTTTGTGTACAAGTTTCCCTTGTATTGTCAGAGTTCCTTTTGAAACGTATTAGTGAGGAGGGTATATCAGATGACTCCTATAATGTAAAATATCTTCCTTTTCTCAGAAGATCACTGATGGATATATATGCATTACAAGACGTTATTATATCTGGAGATAAAAAAGAGGTATGGGATGAAATGTATGATATTATTTGTTCTCCTGATAAATATATTAATGCCAGAAGATGGTATGAATTCTTATTGAAGGTTATCGATGTCTTGGGAAAGATTGAGAAAGATATCAGATATGAAGAAAACATTCATCATGAAATGTTTAATCCCTTACACTTGGGAACTCAATGTGCTTTTACTAATGATCCAACAATAATAGAGTTTGTCAATGATATGAATAAGATCATTAGGGAGGAATCTTATAATGTTCAGATAATGAAGAAATATGATATAATTAAAATAGATATAATATATGCCTACCTGTCTTACGTCTTCTATAGATCTAGGAGATATTCATGTGTATTGTTAGACTATTATGTGAGACCAGGAGTCTCGGTAAACCCTGTATTAACGTATGATAATGATATCGCTAATGTTATTGACTATATGAGTCAAGAAGATGAAGGCTTTGGTTTTAAGAAACGTTTATCTGAAGGTTTTTATGATGATGATATATACAATGTTTTCAGATCTCTTATTCTTGGTTTTAGAAATGCTAGTAGTTTGTATCCTATCAAGGTCATACCAAGACAGATGCAATGCATAAGGAACGAAATCCACCATGAATTAGATGATATTATCACAAAGATATCAGATTTGTGCCAGATTGTTAATGAAGCAATTGACAAAATAGATATTCCCATTAGCGAAGCTGTTCTTCTAGGGAAGGCACCTGAAGATGTTTATGATGCAATTGAAAAATGTAATGATTTGTTGACTGATGGAGTATTCTATTTGAAGAGTCCGAGTATTTCTAGTATTGTCAGTTATACTGACCTTATTATTGATTCTAATGCTATTTCTGGTAATAGATCAATTATTTGTGCAATATCCGTATTGTCTGTATGGAAGAGAAATAATATGCTTAGGAAAGGAATATCAGATATCAGAATGAAAGACACAATTAAGCTAAGATATACTCATCCTCTCATTGCGGTATGTGAAGGATTAAAACCTAATATCCCAGAAAAGAAAGAAAATTATCTCTTAGACATTATTGGGCAATCTGATCGTCCTAAGTTAGTTATTACAGAAGATCTTCCAGATAATAAGTGTATTGAGGAAGTCTCTTGTGATACTGTATGGATGCACATGGGGGACAAGATTCCAGAATATTACTGTTATGAAACAAAAGGAAAGATAGCTATTGTCTCAGTAGAAAGAGATTGTATGGTGACCACAACAATTGTTGCTATTGCTTCTGGACTAATGAAGGCAATATAAAAGGACTCTAAATAAAGAAAATGGTATATTTGTAAAGTGATGCTACTCGAGAAAGGTTCCACTTGGTTGGTACTAAATAGGAAGGATTTGTTTGAATATTAAAGAAGATTTGATTTGAGATGAGTAAACCTGGAGGATCTCTCACCTTTGATGATTTTAAACATTATAGATTCTGCATACAAGTATCTTTAGCTATGTCGGAAAGGCTGCTAAAATCTATTCCTAATAATCTACCAATCACAGATGAATACGGTGAACAGATCGCAATTCCTTATTTTCTGTTTTTTAGAAGAGCAGCTATGGATATATATGCAGTGAAAAATATACTTGGACGTAAAAAGTACAACGATAGTGAAGTATGGAGTGATTTATACAAGCTTATTTCAAGTTCAGATGGTTTTATGAATGATGAGCAATGGAGAGATGTATTATCTAGAACAATAGAGCTTCTAAAGATTATTGAGTCTGATATCAGACACATAAAGGAGGAAGACTTTATTGATGATGGTACATTTGAAACATTACATATGGGAACAATTTGCCCATATACAAGAAATGGTAACGTCATTGATTTTATTAATGAAATTAATATGTTATATAGGGAAGATGTTGTTTCTAAGGATATTTTGGAAAGATATGATGTGAAAAATATGGATCCAACATATTTCTACTTATCATATATATTCGTTAAATTCTGGATAAGCTCTCGTTTTCTGAATAGAGAATTCGGAGAAATGGTAGTAGTAAATCCTATTGTGGATTATAATAATGATATAATGAATATTGATGGTCCTGAGCAACAAGAAGACATGGGACATTTTTATAAAGAAATGATGTTAGGAATCTTGTCAGGAAAAGGGGATATTGATGAAGATGATGTACCTAATTTTTTAAGAGCAA